ACCTGATGATGATATTTGAAGATGTCTCCCACCTGACAGCTGTGGAGATATACGATTGGACGATGGACTGGGGTACCAATGTGAGGGGAATGAATCATGTATTGATATCTAATGCTTTCGCGCCTTTTTGCTCAGATCCAGCTTTGCTTAGCTTCTCATTACTTAAAAATCAGTAAAAGTACACTTAATTCTGCAAAATGGAGTTGAGTGGTTTCTTTCTTGGTTATTAAGTGAAGGAGCCGTGACAGTAAGCTATCACTATCCTCATGCCAATAAGAGGGGGGAATAAAGAAGATAATAAGGATAAATAATAATATTACAGCCATACTACATGGGTAAATACACATAGATGCATACATCAATATTGCAGGGAGAACAGCTTCCTTCACAGAAGAATAGATTTAACAGGGGAAGTCTCAGTCCAGAGTCCCAGGTTTCTATAGTTGTCTCATCAATTCTGGGTCTGAACATATCTTTATTTTGCAGGGCCATTTCAGAGCATATGGACCAGAGAAGAGAAACAGAGGCATTCAAAACCGCCTTTGGTAAAAGTAAAACCAGGACTGGATTTGGAGCAGCATGAACTCAGTGCTATACAAGAACTTGACACTCCAAGGAGCGACAGATTTTCCACTACAGGTGAATTATGACAGTGTAGCACTAATCAAAATCATGTCTCTTTCTGCATCGAAGCACTTAACTTCATTTCATTTAACTGCAGATTGTTGAAACAGTGGTGGGCAACCTGGAAGAGAGATCACCAATGTCTCTTCCATTCAATTCTACTCTTACTATTTCTTTCCTGCCCTTCAACTTGCCTTTTGTTAAACCTAGCTCATTTTGGAATACCTTGGTAGTGTTTTTATCAGATGGACATTGTGATTTGTTCTGTACAGTTATTGTGCCGTAGTGGTAGCTTGAAGATAGTTTATATAAAAGCTTTGTGTATGTACATGGGAAAATGCTCCTTTGGATTAGGAAAAAAGACAGTTTTGCCTTGCTGTGATGCAAGGTTTTAGGATACCTAGATTTGTCTCATGCTTCTTTGTTTTCTCATTAGTTGATTGTCAAAAACAAGAAAAAAATAAGATACAATATACTATTGATGGTTGATAATTGATGTATCATTCATAAGATGTTGGCATAGATATACTATTGGCAACTTGTGAAAAGCAACATTGAACTAGTTTGCAAAACAAACCCTAACACATAAAAATACTCTGTTGTTACCACCCAAAATATTACAGGGGAGCAGCTGCAAAATACAGCCTTATTTGTGTAGGAGATGACCAGGCTGAGCCCAAGGGAGGGGGTCAAACATGTCGTAAGTCATGAGTCCCTATGCGCCTGCAAGAGATTTTAAGTCCAGCCCACCTGGAATGCCTCTCTTATCTCCCGCTCATTTCCTTTAACCGGCCAGTTGGCCAGATTCTTGTAGTAGAGCTTCAGCTTGCAATAAATCTTTATACTCATTTGAACTGCCTGAATCTCCCGATTTCCCCAGCGCTTGACAATTTGCTTGTTTTAAAAGATTTGTCTGGTCACCTATATTGTGAGACGCAACTCTGGGTAGCGAACAAGAGTAATAACAATACAACAGTTTAACGAAACATAGTACAATACAACAAACAAGAGAAACCAGGTGCCCAATCCAATCCATGCTCCAACCTCACAATGCAGGGCCTGGGGAGAAAGCCAGCTCTTCATGGCTTTCCAGAAGTTTAAAAAGGTGAGGTCTTAATCGTCCCAAAGGTCTTTTTTTCAAGAGGCACCTGGACTTTTATGGTTTTCTTTGAAGAGGTTTCGCTTCTCATCCAAGAACCTTCTTCAGCTCTGACCAGATGGTGGGGAATGGAAGGATGAATACTGCTTGCAGACAGCTGGTCATTTGCATCCTTTCTGAGGGTCATTGAGACCACCTGGAGATTTGTCTTGTGTCCTCAGGGTCACCTGAGCTTTCTTGGAACTGTTGACATGACTTTGTTGTAGACTGAAGATAAACAGTCCTTTCTGTTCTACAACACAGTCCTTTCAACAGTTCCAAGGAGGCTCAGGTGACCTTGAAGACACAGATAAACCTCCAAGTGGCCTCAATGACCATCAAGAAGGATGCAAATGAACAGCTGTCTGCAAGGAGTATAAATCCTTCCGTTCCCCACCATCCAGTCAGAGCTGAAGAAGCTCCTTGGATGAGAAGCGAAACGTCTTCAAAAGAAAAACCAGAAAGTCCAGTTGCCTCTTGGGAAAGCACCTTTGGGACAAATGTGACCTGGATAACTAAGAATCTCCATATAGTGAGATCTTAATGTATCTGAAGGGGAAGAATGTTCCATTAGGGCAGGGACCAGTGGTGGGTT